TCTTTGTGGAAGCGCGTGCAGGTTCAAAAGTTCTCATGGGTGGAGTGACAAAGAAACCAGTAAATTAGAAGTGAATGGACAGTTGCCAACGGAAGAACCTTATTTCTATCGATTTTCTTTCACTGTTTAGCGAGTGTTGAATATACACATTTGCTGCGCACGATTTTATGTTTTACACTACCAAGGCTTTGTCGGTTTTTGTCAGCCCTTTAGCAAGACCAACCCAGGTGTGTAAATGGTTACCGACGAAATTAATGCAGGGGATAGCCCTGGACGATGAACAAGTATTCCTTCAACGGGAGGGAAAATAGAACTACACAATGAAAGGAACAAAATTTTTTAGCGGGAATCTAGGACAATAATGTTGGGACACTTAACAAGTCTTCCCGTTCCCCCCTCCTACCATTCCTCTCTTTTCTTTTGGTGATTTTTTCCATTTTTTTTCTCTTAGATCAAGAACACAAGACATTTTTCTACGTTGTTTAAGTGGCCGGGTATAACTTAGTAACTTTAGTCAAGATTAATTCTCTAAGAGAGACATTGAACAGACCTCCCAATACTTTGCGCTTAGCTTGGTGTAGCTAAGCGCCTTGTCCAGTATAGACAACAACATTTGAACATTTTGAACTTTTTTTAAATCTTCCAGATACCCTGGAAAATACTTTTACAATATTCTAGTCTCTTTTTACAATATATTTCCACTCTCGCGGTTGTTTTAAACATATTCTATATTTACACGCTTCGATATAAACTCTATGCTGTATTTTTACATCCCTAACTTCAATTTGTAAGAAGAGAACAGTCAAGGCTTCGAATTTTACAGAAGAAAGGGCATTCACATAGACCTTTTCCCCAACTTTCTAAAAAGATGGAAATGTCACATAATTTTGTCGAAACTGCGCAGTCAACTTTCTTCAATCCCACGACAAGACAAAAGAGAATATGAATTCTATGAGGTGCTATTACATCGTGATACTGGATGAAAATTCCGCGATACCGTTTCTAACTGGGTAGCCGGGATTTTAGCAGTCACTGGACATGAGCTTTTCTCGGAGGGCGTTCTTATGACAGTGACCTGGGTTACAGTCGCATCGTCCGAGAGGCACCGGGGCCGAGGGATTTGAAAGATGCCTTTGATCACTCGCTTGTAAGTGTTTTTAAACTCCTGGTTGAAGAATCCATAGACCAGTGGATTGACTGCGGAGTTGGAGTACACGATGCAAGACATGATGGCTGTGAAAAGGTACGACAGAGCTTCCTGTTTGCAGATTTCCAGGAGGATATCAACAAAGAATGGCATCCAACATAAGTAAAACAAGCCTATGACGATTGCTAGAAGAAAACAACAATAGCAAATAATTAACAAGAAGTCACCACTGTTTGCCTGCAAGTTCGATCTCTTGGAGTGCGGGGTGGAAGAATTACCAAGAGAGCTTACTTGCAAGCTACATTACAGTACAAATTGACTACAGCTAGCTGTTTTCTTTTTTCAGCAGTGTGAAAAAGGTGTGGTATGACTTTTTAAGGGAGCTTTTGTTTCAAGCAAACCTCTCTGACTGTTACACCCTCTTGACGCAAAGAACAAACCTTCTGGAATTTTCCAGTCTCAAAGCAGATGAAAGAGAGAACCGCGTTTGTAACGAGCACCAAATTACGGTAAATCCTCCAATTCGAAATTTCTACATTCACCAAGAATTATATCGTGACAACAGAAGCTTCAATAAGAGGGTCCAACAAAGGTATTTCTCAATCCCGCATCCCGCCACGTTTTTCCGCATCCTGCCACGTTTTTCTATCTGGATCCCGCCTGGTTAGAGTCGAGTTCGATCTCCGCTTAACATCCGTAACGTGCGATTCTTTTTGTTTTTCAGCCAGCATCCCGTCGTCAATATTAAAACTATCCCGCATCAGTCCCGCCTATCAAAATGAGAAAATCCCGCTCCCGCCAGAATATCAGTTTTATGCCGCACCCCGCCATTAAAATTTTGTCATTCCGCATCCCGCCTCCACTTCTTCTGTCATCCCACATCTCGCCAAATGTTGGACACTCTATTTCAAATTGTAGCAAGAAACGATGACTTCCTGGAAAGCACGAACTAAATGCTGGAATCACGTGGGCTGCAAGAAAAATTTTGACTTCATAATTTCCAGTGTAATCACATGGCAGGGTCTGTTATTTCACTGTTTTGCCAGTTGCCCCTAGTTACCAATATCACAGCAAGTCTCATCCACGAAAGCATGTTAATGACATGTAATATATAAATATTCTCTTTACATAGTTCGTTCTTCAGCGAGAGGGTAAGTTAGACCGCTAATTATAGCATCAAATTCAATGTGATGCTCTATAGATAGGCGAATGATAAAAGGCAAATGCGTGGGATTAAAAAGATATGTTTTTATGAAATGGATTCTCACTTCTGTTTATCAGTAATGCTTCATTTTTAGGTATATATAGCTCAATTTTAAAAAAACATTCATGAAAAAGTAGGTCTGACCAATCTAAGTACTTCACTACCTTACCTATCGTCTTAACAGCTTTTGATTCCCGGTTGAAAAGAATTTGCCTTGAACTGTGTTTCCGAAGTGAAGGCTGCTGTAAATTGTCCTCACAATACACCATTAAAGAGGCAATTCGTCTTTCTTGGCTGCGAGCGAGAAGAAATATCTTAAAGTATGCCGCAGTAATAACCACGGTGGGTGTAGCGCAAATGAAAACAAAGTACAACACAAGGTACGTTTCTTCCAAAATGTCAGCGAAACGGCACAGGTGTTGAACACGGTTAATTTCCACGGTCTTTGCTCCGGCACCAACCAGAGGCAAGAAAGACACTGTCAGTGCGGTAATCCAAACCGCTGCTATTGTTAGATACATCTTGTTCAGAGTTACAAAGTTGTTGTACTTTAAAGAATAGGAAATCGCCAGGAACCTGTCCATGGTGACGGCGAGGAGATTAAGAAGTGAGGCGCTCAAACTGGACAAAGTCAGGCAAATCGTCAATTTACACCACATGAATTCTCTCGTAGACTCAATAGAGGAGAGTTCCAGTGTTCTGACTGGAAGAAGGAATACTCCAACCATGAGGTCAGCCAGTGACAAAGACAATATTAGCATGTATTCAGGACTGCGTAGGCGAAGATTTACGCGAATTGAGGCGAGTACCAGAAGATTTACCAAGATTATTGTCAGAGCCAATAAGATGAAAAACACAATGTTAACGATAACCTCAGGGCTTAGGTCTAGTGAAGAATTCCCATTTTCTGCAGACAAGCTTGTAGCATTTGTTATGCTAGATTTAGAAGTATTTGAAAACATGGTTTATAGATCCACGTAATTGAAGATTTGGTATGAATTGTTCCTCGGTGCGCAATGTCACAGCAGAAGTTACATCACACAGTTTTTCTTGAGAAGGACGAAATTTTCACCTGCTATAACCAAAAGGATAACAAAGTTAGCTTAGTTTCTGCATGACGATTTTGCTTCGTAACGTTAGCAACGAAGTTAAAAAAAATTCGGTAAAGAACACTGGTAGGCCCGATTATTCAGTAATCGCGGTTCGGAAAAGGCGATCTCACCCAAATAAAAACTTTTCCCGTTTTGTCGGCAATCGGCAACCCTCGGGTTTTTTTCCTCCAGGTTAACCAGTATGAGACAAAGAAAAATCTTCAATCCAGGCAATTCACGGCAAAGTCGGGTTATCTTCAAATGAAAATCATTGAACGCCTGCCATAAAATCAGTACTCATTGATTTTGGAAACGTGAGCCGAGTCCTTAAGATATAAACTGAGACTGTCATATCACAATCAAATTGACACCATTCGCCAAAAACGTATTATATGTAACCCAAATAAGGGTTTGCCAGCTGCTATCGACCTCCGAACTGTCTGTCCGGCTGCCATATAGTGTATCCTAAAAAAATTAATCAAACTGTTTCTTTTCCAAAAGTAGTCAAAATCATTTGTACTAGACGAATTTGAGATGGTGGCTCAAATTTTCACTTGTCGCGTCTACTGATCGGGGAAGCACAGTTGAGACGGTCAGTTGACTTAGGTGAAAGTTGAAAAGGTAATGACATAGACGAAAGGGGAAAATAACTTTAGATAGGGGGTAGTCTATTTTTGTGTCCATTTGTTAATCATTAGTTAAAAAGATCTAATCTTCCTCATTTTTCACCATCTACTTTAAATCCATTACTTCCGCCTCTCCTTTCTTTTCCTCCAAACAGTACTTAAAAATCAGCCTCAAATTCTCAATAAGCCACGGTGCCTTTCAGTGTAATCCTAATGCTGGATTTTTGGATTGCACGAGACCAGAGATAAGTCAGATGTTTTTTGTTTTGAATAATGCCAAACTCACGAAAACCGAAGCATTTAAATTTATTCGCCCTCCCCAATCTGAAAGCTTGATTTATAGTCCTTTTTGGTTTTATACTTTATTGTAATGGCACTCACAATTACGGCATAAAAGAAGGAGTAAAGCTTTCCGTGCTTTCTGCCACCGTGCTGGGAATATGCAAACTAGTAAAAATTTAGAGAGCTAGACTGAGTTCTGCGGAGTTACACAATCTTGCCCGGGATATTTTCCTCGTCGAAAATAAAATAAAATAAAATAGTTTAGTAATATATCTAACTGAATATGGATTGAGGTCCAAGTTAGATTACTTAGCATATTTTTTGTAACGAAAACATCATATATACATTGCAGAAAACAGTTTGCTCGTAAACAACGGAAGCATTCGTTGCATAACTCAAAGAGTTACATTTGATGATTTTTTTTTTTCGTCTTTGACAAATAAAGGATGCAATGGTTTTCTTACTTCCTGCGATTTACTTTCACAACATATACTTTTTTTACCTATTTTGAAATACATGTGAAAGTTGTTCAGGATATAAAGACTGTCAGATGACGGACAAATTGATACAATTTGCCAAAACCGTTTTATATGTAACCCAAATAAGGATTTTTTACCAGTCGCTATCGACCACGATCCGAACTGTCTGTCTGCCGTATAGTGTATCCTGAAAAAATTAATCAAATTGTTTGTATTCCAAAAGTAGTCAAAAACAAGTTGAGATAGGGTGGCTCAAAATTTTCACTTGTCCCGTCCACTGATCGGAGAAGTACAGTGGAGACGGTCTGTTGAAAAGGAAATGAAATGGAGGAGAGGGAAAAATAAATAACTTCAGATAGGGGGTAGTCTATTTTTGAGTCCATTTGTTATTCATTAGCTAAAAAATCTAATCTTACTCATTTTTCATTATCTACTTTAAATCCTCTATTTCCCCTTCCAGTTTCTTCTCCTCCAAACAGCACTTAAAAATCAGCCTCAAATTCTCAATAAGCCACGGTGCCTTCTAGTGTAGTTCTAATGCTGGATTTTTAAATTGCACGAGACTTCGGATAGATAAGTCAGATTGTAAAGTGAATAATGCCAAAACTCACGAAAAACGAGGCTTTTAAATTTCCTCGCCCTCCTCAATCTGAAAGCTTGATTTATGGCCCTTTTTGGCTTTATGCTTTACGGTAATGGAACTCACAATTACGGCACAAGAAAGGAGCTGAATCTAGCTGGTTCCGTGCTTTTTGCCGCTGTGCCGGGAATATGCAAACTAGTTCAAATTTAGAGAGCTTGAGTTTTGCGGAGTTACATAACACTGTCTTGGGTATCTTCCTTTTCCAAAAGTAAAATAAAATGGTTTAGTATTATATTTAAACGGTGAGTATGGATTGAGGTCCAAGTTAGATTACTTAGCATATTTTTTGCATCGAAAACATCATATACATTGCAGAAAACACTTTGCTCGTAAACAACGGAAGCAGTCTTTGCATAACTCAATGAGTTAGTTACATTTAATAATTTTTTTTTTCGTTTTTGACAAATAAAGGATGCAATGGTTTCATTGCTTCCTGCGATTTACTTTTACAACATATACGTGAGCAAATTAACTTGAATGCGGAAAAGTTAGGCATTGAACAATCACAACATATTGCGTTCTTCTAGGAATCGTGCATTTAAACTGTGCAGAGATTCGCCGAATATAGAGAGCTAGAAATGTATGCCACGAAATTCTAAGTGTTGAAATTCGCCGTAGACGTATTTTTAACGCAAATAAGTTATGGTTTACTTACCGCTGAAGCGAAATGTTTAGGTCAATGTGCATAAGAAGTCTCGATTCACCTCACGTGCCAAGTGAAAAAAAGCCCTTGAAGCTCAGGCGAAGCGTGCCATTCAACTCATGACGCACGACTGACTCGTGAACAGGCACACATGTGCATTAAGCTGGCTTTCTCATTCAATTTCCTGTTATCTCAGCGGTGTCTTTTACTAAACAAACTATAAGTTGGTTTCAGAAGGTACCGAAGGGTGATAGCATTTGAATGATTTCCGCACACCGCGTTGACCGGTGTTAGATATAAATGAAGATCACATCAATCTACTATTCGAGAAAAAAAGTTTTTTTCTATTAATATTTTATCTTTACCTTGGCTCCTCTCTGCAGTTCTAAGATAAAAAAAAAGCTGCTCTTTTATTGTTGCTCTTTGTTTATTATTTTTGTTGTTGTTGTTGTTGTCGTACAAAAATTGTTATGATTTATGTTATATAAGAAGATTAACAAATTGTTGGAAGAAATTCTTATGCGTCGGCGGTCAAAAGGAACAAAGTGAATCTCAGTTCAATATGGACTTGATAAGTTCTGTGCAACGAATTTTCCTTCCTTCTTAGATTACCTGGTGTTTGAAGTGAGGAACAACTCAAAACATTTGTTTTGCATAAAGAAAAGTGCCTTTAACATTAAGAACGTTGAAGCTGACAAAGGTCAAAATTTTAAGAATTACGAACTTCGAACATAATAGCAAAATTCGGGTAAGAAGTGCTATTTTTTCTAGTTTAAATAAAATGACAAATACGTGGGCAAATCCAATTAAAGTTTGCTTTCAACATTCAAATAGGAGCTTAAACAGTCTTGGAGTGACAAATATACTGCTATACCACCTCGCTTTTAAAATAAAAACAAAAATACTTAGAAAACATTTCTCTTCAAATAATCCGCGGCCCAAAACAAACTACTTTCTTTTAAGTAAAAATCCAATATGTTAAGTTCGCATTTATAATTTGATCTTATCTGAGAGAGAGATGAATTTACAAATTTAAATTGCGAAACGCTTTTTATTTTTCGGGTCGTTTTTGAAGTTGTAAAGCAAGGCAAAAATACAGTGTTTACTAGATCAAAACAAACAAAATGGAAAAAGTAATGGTTCAAAAAAGTAAAATTATTTGAATTTTGCTTCGTCCTAAAACCAGGCACTTTATAGATCTTTCCCAAGCAAAGTACATTAAAGGAAATTTGTTTACAGCTGGCATAGTCTATTACGTTGTTTTACATCTTAAAAGCGATCAATTGGCTTTAAGTAATGTTTGCGTCCTAAAATAAGGTTATCTTGATTGTAAAAGAAACAACAATTTTCCATTTAGCTCGCCAGTAACTAATTTTTATAACCAAGGGTGGCCAGTCAAGATCTAAAATCTCCTTACTCCTTTATGCATTGCCAAGCAAAAAGGTTAGGAGAATTATGGTAGACATTAACTAGAGGTTATTGCCTTGATACAGCGTTGCGTTTTCAGATCTGGCATTTTAAGAAATTCATGGGAATTAATTGAGGAAACGAAACGTCTTCTTTGAATGTTTAAAATGAATTTCACTCGTGTAATATCCAGAGCTGCTATATGTTTTTATCTATCTATCCTCAGGTAAGTACCAAGTCTTCTGACAAATTTGCTACATCGAAAAAAAAAAAAAAATCGATGAATCAAATAACACCCTTATTAGCATTATTCGAAATCTTAAACCTAATATACCCTTTTTCACCTTTCAATATTGATCATGAGCGAAGATCTTTGGATAACGCTAAAAAAGAGTGACTCAGATTGGGAAAGTAGCCAAGTTTGCAAGACGTATCTTGTAAAATCGCAAGTTATCTAAAATCGCAGACGTCCGCCTGCATGCTGGAGGGTTACTTTGAACCTACTGACCTAGGATGTCTGTAGAATTTCCCGGATTAGTTATAAAACCATATTTTGGCTATTTTTGCAAGATATGGCTCCCAAGGCAAACGCGGTCATTGTGTTGATTAATTGTCAATAAATCTTCAATACTTAGCTAATAATTAAAGTTTACAAACATCTGATATTGAAAAGACCTGAAGGAAAAAAGATTTCCTAAAGCGCCCATTCGCTGCTTGGAAAAAGCTTTATTAATGAATTATGCTTCTTTTTTTTCCATCGTGTATAGTTTGTCTAGATGCTTCTAAGTTCAATTTATGTTTATTCTTTTTTTATTTTTTTTAAGAAAGAAGCAATAAACAACTGAAACAGACATGTACGCTTGTTATAAAATAGTGATTTCTTGCTTCTGTTTTTTTTTTGACAAAAAGTACTTTCTGCGGATATACATCGTAAAAAAATATGCGTGAAATTTTGAATAAAAAAAGATCTAATGTTCAAACATTTGGCTCCAAAACGGAGTAAAAAAATTCTTAGTTTTAGACCAAGGAAAGCAAACCTGGTGAATAATTCCGTTGAAATAATAAAATATTCTTTTTCTTTAATTCTTAGAGCAGATTTTGACGGTTAGATAAATGGTTATCTTGATAACAAAGAGGGTTTGTCGCTTAATTTAGCTTGATCGATAAAGGGTTTGAAATAAGTCGACATATCAGTTTTGTCCGTGAAGTTAAGAATACTTGTCAATGAAGTCGACATTTTAATGTTCTTCAGAATTTTATTCTCCGGTTAGGTGCAAGAAGTCAAAATCTTCAGAATCTAAACTTATAATGAGGGCGCCTAGCCAGGCTTTAAAAGTGGTCATTGCCCTAAACCTGACGTTTCGGGGACCACTCTTTTGTCTGTAATCTGATAAACAGGGGGTTTATAATTCGCAGCTAAATTTGAAACTTCTAAGCTGCTAATTCTGGCTTGTAGGCGTTCAGGTTCCTGTGCTTTGCGGGGAGACAACAACGACTAATAAAACCTAGATTGC